CTACTCTCTCTCTCTCTCTCTCTCTCTCTCTCTTTTTTCTCTATCTCTCTCTCTCTCTCTTTCTCTCTTTCTTTCTCTTTTTCTCGGGTTTTTCGACAAATCGGCGGCAAACGAAAATCGAGGGAGAAAAAAGGATTATTTTATAATTTCGCGGCGGATTGACGCAACCGTGTAACGGGGTCCACGATGACGACACGATTTCGTTCCGCGCAAGCGGACCGTATTTTTAAATGCCGCCGCCTTTTATCTTAGCGACCAGCCGCGAATCTTCCGCGATCGCCGCTTATAAATCACTCTCTGCTCTCTCGTTGCTTACGAAGAAGTAAAAGAGAGAGAGAAAGAGAGAGGGACAGAAAGAAAGAGAAAGAATGGAAGGAAGAAAGAGAAAGAGAGAGGTAAGACCAAACGAGAGACGCGTTTCTCGTTTCTCGCACACAGTGAGAGTTCTCCCGTTGGAGCCACGACAGGAGGTGGGAGAGAAACACGGTGAAAAGGGATGGAGGGGTGAAGGGGAAGGAGGGAGGGAGAAGGGGCAAGAGAAGGATAGACAGCCTTTTGAGTCCCCTCGGTGACCAGTTTAGTTCTGCTTGGCATTCGAACCGCACCAGAGATCATGTGACAGAAGACAAGCTAGGATCCTCGAATCGAAGTTTCGATCCTTGATCCGTTTTGGAGCGCGTTAGATCATCGATATACCGCGTCGATCGATCGCGATCCACGATTCGCTGCCACGGGATAAGTATAAGGTGAATCTGTGAATCAGTTTGTGAAAACTTCACGCGTTTCCTCGCGCACGTGCTGATATTCCATCGTGTTGATTATTTTTTCCTTCCCTCCTCCTATCTTTCCTCGAAGCGTTGCGAATTCTTCGAACGTCATCGAACCGCTATGCGATCGAGAGGCGCGTAAAATCGCGTAATAATATAAATACGCGAGGTAAATCGCGTTTCTTTTCCGCGTTTCGTCGATGTACGATCAAGGATGACCGGTTGATGGAAAGAGGCAGGATCGAGATCGTGACGGCGCATGCAACACGTGCACTCCGTTTAAATCAACAAACAGCGGCCAGTCGCGTAAAAACACGACTCGCATACATTAACGACGAGGAAAGCGTATAGCCTTTTCGTATTTTCCCACCTCCTCCTCCATCTCTCTTTTTCTACGCGCTCTATCTTCCTCTCCGCGCACGCTCTCCGTAAATGACACTTGTGAAATCAACGCACACATTTTCACCGCTCCGAGCGAGGAACTGTAGAAAAGAGGGTCGTTGACAGCGGGAGACCGCGTGATAAATGTACCGGTACGCGTACGCTTGCCTCCGTTCCCTGCAAATTTTTATGAAAACGCCAATTCGCCCTCGTGTTTACCACGACTCTTGCTCGCCCGATTCGCACATCTGTCGCGCGTGAAAATTCAATTCTCGCGCGGCTCCGTGGACTTTCTCTGTGGATTCTGTTCGCGCTCGAGTCGAGAAAACTCGAGTCAGAGAAGTGGAAGAATCAAAAAAAGTGCGGAATATGAGATCGATCGATCTGAACGTAGTCTAAGAATAGTCGCGACGAGCGGATTCGTTGAACCGGGCTTCTTTCCCTTTCTTTCCACGTGTCCACCGTGCGCACAGGGAAAATAAATCGGCAACTTTCACCGATATATACAGTATCAACGACGACAGTAGCTCGTAAACCATGTCGGGAGATACGACGTCGGACGAGGAGGGATCGCAGGAGGACTCCCCTCGATACGACATCGACGATCTGGAGATCATCAAGACGATAGGTGAGCACGACATCCTATTCATCTCGACACCTTTCACTGACGACTCTCGAACCGTGCGATAGGAAAACTTTCTACGCATCCTCGATTAGAGTGCCGTCTAGACACGCAGGAATTCGTTCGACTATTCAACTCGAAATTATGGTCTAGAGATCGCGTCGAAAGCAATAATTAATCGATCTTCTTATTTTCTTATTTACAAATGATCACGAGGTACGGGGAACAGGTTTGTTAAAGCGAATCGGATGATGCAAATGCTACTCATCACGCTACGTCTGCTGAGTCTTGGTAAAATGTCAGAGACGAGGCGAACCACCCTCTAAACGAGGAAGTGGGCCACTGGAGAGTGAGAGGTGTACGAAGTGTATATTTAACTGCTCGTTAAGTTCGAGTTACACGGAATGAGTGTCGGAGATGCAGGTGTTTCTTCGCTGATTTTTCACTCTTTCCCTGTGTCTTGTGAAACCGTTTCTTCGAACGACTTAACCGTTGTCTAATAGAAAGGAGAACTCCACATCTTATACATATTCCACGATGGTAAAGAATCTAGGTGGGACAGCGTAAAAAGACCGTAAAGCTTGTTTTAAACGCACGGTCGGGCTTCCCTAATTTCCACGTGAAATTCAACAACGCGACTTTTGTGGGTCATCAATGGATAACATGGACGGTGAGATATTACCCGACGTATGACGAGAACATCGAGGAAATAAATTTTGGAGCAAAAGCATCGATCTCTTATCGTTCCATTTAGCTTGATCGCGCTGGATCGCGATTAAACTCGTAAAGCAGAGGTAGCGGACCCATGTAAGCGGAGATCGATCAGGACAGATGTGCGGACATTGCTTTTTTTCGAGACGTAGAACAAGTTTTGGACGAACACCAAATTCCTCTCTTTCTCTCTTCAATGCCCATATGGGAGAAAAACAACTCGTCGAGGGGAAGCGTCTGGCGCGCGTAATTCGAGCAAAATAGCCCACTCGCGTGATGAATGAACCGTGTTATACCCGAAACATTAACCTTCTCCGATCCGATATATTTCCACTCGACAATTTCCCGTTTAATCATCCAGGATGCGAATATTTCGCCAAAGCGTATTAGACGACAATAAAAATGAAAATCGTTATTGGAGCGAAGTTGAAGTCGAAGATTAAGTTGTCGCGGGATTTCCGAGGGAAACGAGATATTTTTCTCTCTCTCTCTCTTTTCTCGTTTATTTTTTCATTTCGTCGGAAAGAAATATCGGAGACGGTCAATTACGTAAATTGAGGGACGAGCAAAGAATATTTAAAGCATCGGAAACAGCTCGTCGTTCTGTCATTGACACCTGTTCTCAGCTGTCGCTGGCAATCACCGCGATCGTTTCACGGGGTATACAACACACGATTTTGCCCCTTATTTCGCGCCGTCTGCCAATTTTCTCGCATTTATAATGACGCCTCTCTCTCTCTCTCTCTCTCTCTCTTTCTCTGTGTACGCGAAACTGTCTGCCCCTCATCCGTGATGCGAACACAGCAATTTACCGGTTAATTTCGGCGCGGACCACGGGTCTGCGGCGGCCATCGCTGTTCCGTTAATTGGTCGTGGTACGTTGAGCAGACCAACTTTAGCCACCTGCATTCGTGGGAAAGTGCATTAAACAGACCGCGGATTTTGCTACCAGAGAAAGCGTTGATGATTAAACGCTCGTCTGAAATGGATCGATAACACGTGCGCGCTATCTTTTTACCGCTGTTACCTTGTATAAATTAACGAATATAATCGATACTTGCTATACCCGTATATACATTATTTTATCACGAGGAATCGATAATCTTGGCTATTAATAGCCGATCGATCTGACGCGGAATAAAACGCATAAGCGATCGTTCATTGATAAATCAAAGTTTTCTTAACGGATGCGTTTACTATGTGTTTACATAGGTACAGGAACTTTCGGAAGAGTGGTGTTATGCAGGCATCAAGGTACACCTCTGGCCTTGAAGATTCTCTCGATGGTGGACGTGATCAGATTGAAACAAGTGGAACACGTACGGAACGAGATCACCGTATTGAAAGAGGTCAATCATCCCTTTATCGTGAACATGTAAGTCAAATTTGCTTTCTCCTTTCTCCCAATCTTCAACCAAGCTGTAACATTGTCGGTTGTGAACGATCGATGAAGGGAATTGTCCGTTCAAAGGCGAGGAAGTACGCTATGTATGGTATGATCAAGAAAGTTGCGAGTTTGTCGGTCAATCGTATCTCTGAAAAAGAAAGCGTAACTAAAAAATTACGAAAGTGATACCTGCTTGATCTCTCATCAACATGTTTCTCGTTCCATTAAAGATCGCGTATGAAAATGTATTCTCTACCATTTTCATTTTTTTTTTTTTCTGTTTCTAAAATTCTTCTCCGTTATTGCCCCATTATTCTTTTAACGCCTCGATTTGGTTTCAGGCTTTGGAGCGGAAGGGACGAGGCAAGAGTATACATGCTGCTAGAATTCGTTGCCGGTGGGGAGCTTTTCTCCTATTTAAGGGCAGCTGGCCGATTTTCCGGGCCCACCAGCTGCTTCTACGCGGCCGAAATCGTTTGTGCCCTAGAATACCTGCACGCCAAACACATAGTTTACAGGGATTTGAAGCCCGAGAACCTTCTGTTGGACAGCCAGGGACACCTGAAGATTACCGATTTCGGATTTTCGAAGAAACTGACGGACAGGTAAACGGATACTTAAAGCAATCTTCTTAATGATGCTAGAAATATATAACTTCTAAAAGTGTTTAATAACGGTAAATATGCAGTTGTATTTCATCGAATTTGAATCGATTATGTCATAACATTCGATAAATGCAAGTAAATAAGTTCAATAATTCAGTTGAATTATTAATTACGATATATATTTCTGATCGATCATATCTCTTATGGAAGATTTTTTTTTTTTTCATTTTTTATTTTTTCTTTTTTGTATCGAGATATCAGCAACGTGACTGCTCAGTCACATGATTTCATCGATAATTAAACGTGATAATCGTAATGTATGTATATACCAGAGAATAACAATTATTATCAGGAATCACGATTGCAGAACGTGGACTCTGTGCGGCACACCGGAATATTTGGCGCCAGAAATAATTCAGAGCAAAGGACACAATAAGGCAGTTGATTGGTGGGCGCTCGGTGTTTTGATCTACGAAATGTTGGCCGGTTTTCCGCCATTTTTCGACGACAATCCCTTCGGCATCTACGAGAAAATATTGAGCGGCAGGATAGAATGGCCAAAACATATGGATCCGATCGCTAAGGATTTGATCAAAAAGCTTTTAATTGCAGATCGAACGAAAAGGCTAGGAAATATGAGACAAGGTGCCGACGACGTGAAAAGGCATCGTTGGTTCAAATTAGTCGAATGGCCGTTGGTAATTCAATTCGAATTGAAGATAATTTTTCTTTCTTTCTTCCTTTCTTTTCTTTTTGTTATTTTAAGGCGAATTAAAGTTATTTGTATACATCGTTGCATTTTTATCATTTTACACGAATAGGTGCCTCAAAGAGCTCTTACACCCCCAATAAGACCACGAGTGAAGGCACCGGGCGATCCAAGCTGTTTCGACGATTACCCGGAAACTGATTGGCGTTCTCAGCCTCCATTGCCGCCGGAACAACTGGCTCTGTTTCAAGATTTCTAAAAGAAACGTCATGGACAATCGTTCGAACCATGCCAGACATTCATTGACGCAAATTCGTTTGCAACCTTTCGTGTCGAGATTAGAACCATTGAGTTAACGGTATTGTGATGTGTATAAAGTTTCTCAAACGTTCAAACAGGAGTTCCTTCTTATTTTGTACATAGCGGCCCCTTTTTGTATTATTCTCGTTGTGCGTAGTTTATTTATTCATTTTATTGAGTAGAGTAGATTTTTTTTTTTCGTTGTTTTAAAGGAATTTGTCGTTGTAAATAAAATTTGAAAGAAAGTAAAGAGAAGTGCAAGGAAAAATAATCTCGAACCACGAGATTATGTGAATTGTGAATTCGAGAGGTTTATCGTTATATCGATGCATGTTCCTTCTGATATGAAAAAAAAAAAGTGATGATTAGTAGAAATTATTATAATTTTATAAAATGCTGTAATGTAAAGTATTTGTAATTTGATGTATCGTACAACAGTACGTTACATTTCAAAAGAGAATTAAATCGTGAATTTTTTTTTAAATTTCATCTTCTTGTCTTTGAAGCAATCGTCGTATCAACTTTTTCAACCTTGAACACACTACGAATCCAATTGTATTGTAGTGTTCTCGTTAATCGCGATAGGATCACTCGTCATGCACACCACCTACGGATCTAATAAATTTTAAAATAGTTAACTGAATAATTTAAATCACAAGCGCACAACCTTGTTATAATAAAGTATTCAATACGAAAAATAACCAGTATCATGAACATTGCTGAAGTCGGATTCAAAGAGCAAAATCCAATAACTATGACTAAAAAATCAAACAGTAAGAGTAAAGAATTCTTGTATGATAATTCGATATCGAAACGATTAAATCGTAAAATTAATGTAATCGAAGCCAAGCTGAATGTCACGAAACGTGTAATCGATCCTCCAAAAAAAGAAAAAAGAAATCCAACCTCGTTGGACGTTTTAACCGATTTTTTGGAGAGCACTTCCGTGCACGGTTTGCAATATTTCGGTAAAACGGATATAGAAGTCGGAACATTTGGAAAGATTTTATGGAGTGTCACCATATTCAGTTGTTTCATCGGTATCTCCTCGTCGTTCCTTGATATGATGATGTGTAAAAATGATACTTAGAATCAAGCACGTGTCAATTCTCGTTTCAGGTTTGAGTTTAATGGTTGTGCAATTTCTACATCGTTACAATGAAAATCCGACCAATACGTACATACTGACTTTCGACGAACCGATATTCAAAGCTCCTTTCCCTGCTGTAACCATCTGTCCGACTATGCCAATTCCTATGCGAAAGCGTCTAGCCATTTTGGAGAACGCGATATTGCCTGAGAACGTGAGCAGAGAATTTGCGTTAAACATATTGAAGTATGTATACAAATTGGAAAAAAATATTGTAAAAGAAAAATACCGATGAGATGGAAATTGCGTGAAATTTGACATAGATACGGCCATATTATAACTCATCCGTACACGAGCAAGGAGTTCGAGGAAATCGATAAGTTAAAAGCATTTTTGAATGCCAATAAATGGAAAGTCGTGGAATTCGTGAAAATTTTGATAAATTGCGAGGATATCTTCGAGTCGTGTCAGTGGAATACGGAACAGATAGATTGCGGTAAATCGATAAAGACCTCGTACAGTTCTTATGGATTGTGTTGCTCGTTTAATTATCTTCTCGAAGGTTACATGGGACCTCAGAGGCAAGTATTTCAACAATATTTTAATCGTTCGATTAAAATTGTATTATTCCTTGTACGTATATTCTTTTTTATCGATGATGTAAAAGTGGTCAAGCAACACCAAAACCTTTGGGATCAGCTGATTTTGGTCCAGAAAGCGGTTTGAAACTCGTGATCAATAAAGAATTTCAAAGACAGAGTGACGAGGAAGATTCGTACAATTCTATGAATTTTTCCATGAATAATAATGGTATAATGGTACAGGGAAAAATGATAATTTCGCAGAAATCAATATCTAAGATGAAATTCAAAATAAAATTTATCTGTATTATTTTCGCAATTAGGTAGTCATACATGACAGAATGGATTTTCCAGGACTCAGTAGCAATATGTACATGTTACAAGCGAATCATGAATTAAAGGTAATCTATTCAATATATAAAAAATGAAATCGATGAATCATCGGTTCTCTTAATTAATTATTACAGATCGCTATTAAACCGGAATTGATTCAGAAACCAAAAGGACTGCAACATCGTAACAAAGAGAACCAACTAGTTCCTATATGTATCGCGGAAGATCAAAATACTTTGGAATACTTTTCCATCTATGGATATTCGAACTGTTATACGAATTGTAGAGTGAAGGCCATGCTTCGGTATTGTGGATGCTTACCATTTATTTTCAACAACGTAGCTGAATACAATAAGATCAAAGTAATGGAAATTTTATCGTTAAATATCGATAAATCACAATATTCACGAAATCACAAATTGGGGCGATCGATTTTTAGCATTGTGAATTGGATCGTCTATACTGTATTCAGAGAAACAAAAGAATCAGAATCGTGAAGAATTTTCAGAGCGAAAATGTTTCTTGTTCCTGTAGAACACCGTGCACTTACATGAACTACGATGGATTCCCTAACTCGATAGCTCTAATGAAAACCAGTTCCACGTGAGTTCATCTCATAAGTATTACATTAACTGTACTCGTGTATATAATAACATAATAACAAATAACATAATATGTGTTATTTTATAGAAGAAATGTGTCACAGAAAAGTACTATTCTTAACGTTTACATGAATTCGCAAACTTATCAAGTTTCAATAAGCTTATCAGCTGCTAACGAAACTTATCTTTTGGGTATTGAATGTATTCTATTAATTTTTTTTTTTTTTTTATTATTCGTTTTATTAAATTCAAGTTAAATTAATTCAAATTCAAACATTTCAGCATCAGTCGGTGGAATCTTCAGTTTGTTCTTGGTTGTAGCTTTTTAAGTGTCGCAGAAATCATTTATTTCATATACTTATTTTTTCGCGCTAGTTTGAAATCGAGTCAGAAGAGCCGAAATCTAAATACATCATAAATACCGATTATTATAAACAGTAAACGACACGTTTATTTGAACAGTCAATAAATAACGCTAGTAGATTATAGATACAGTAACGTTCCCTTTCTCTTTCCTTCGAATTGCACCATTCTGAACCACTTTATCGGTATATATATATATATATATATATATATATATATATATATATATTAGT